TTCACCAAATAGAAAATCGTCTAGTTTATCGGGACCAAGTAAGTACATAAAATCAATTATGGCATAATGTCGACGGGGTGTGAGTTGATTGCTTTGTTCGGCGATCCTATCAGATTATGATTTATCAGGAACATACACCAGTTTCCCACGAAAACAATAAATTTAGTGTAGTATACTAAATAGTGAATGGTTTTCGTCGATCAAATTTTCTAAAAAGTCGTAATCTCGGTCTAGGTATAAAAGAGACTAGAGAGATTATAGGGGACAGACATTAAAATATAGGGGTTTCTAAAAACTTTAAATTGGGAATAAAAATATTAGAAAATATAACAAGTCCATCCTATAGTCAGTTTTTAGAAAATACCACAAAACAATATTTTTCCGGGATATACAAAGTATCCCAAGTCTCAATCAATATAGGTCACAAAGTATATATGTACCAAAGTTGATACACGGGATGGGTCAGCTGTCTAAGAGAAGCAAAGCGAATAAGAAACAAAACATACTTCCACATTTATAATATAAGAGGATTATGAGTATGTTGACAGCAGGAACCCGACTAGCGGAGTATTATAATTATAACCTATCTTTTAGAATGAAAAATTATTTATGTGATCGCTTAAAAAAAATTAATACCTAAAACATATTTGGTAACCTAAAAGTTACGATAGGTATCTTTTGGGGCTCAATTACAATTTTTTGCTGATCATTTAAATAAGTGCCTTCTAAAATCACATTTCCAATTTACAAAATGTCTGTTCGCTCACGTAATTACTACAGGTATCTATCTGGTTAGGTCTAAACATGATAGCACAAAAATAGCCTGTATTGATCCAGCCCGCTTTAAAGATGGCCGGTTAAACACGCACCAAGTTGAAATGTAGAACTATTAATATTAAAGTAATAGGAGGCAAATGCAGAAGTTGCTGTTATTGACATTCGAGCTGTAAGTCAAAGAAATTTGGTGTACCACAAGGTACTGTATTTGGACCCATTCTCTTCATAGTCGGGGATTGAAATGATTTAATTAATGAAAGTCCAATAAATTTGTTTCGATAACTTAATAAAATATTAAATGATTGATGTGCCTGATAACACAAGTAATAAATTGTATCGACAACGTATTGGCTATTGTAAATTATTTGAGGTACATCATTAATAATCACAAAAAACGTAACGTAAATGCCTACAAACATTAAAAATACAGACACCTAAAAGATAGAGACCTAATCCATTGTTTCACAAATAAAATCATAGAGATAAAAGCTCGCTAAGCTACAAGTTATTACTTAAAGGGGAAACATGAACTTTAATTAAATCTAAACAAAGATAAAGCTTCGGTCGGTCGAGCTTTTATGAAGTTTGTTGGAAAATAACAAATTTAACGGCGTGCTTCATAATAAATTCTTTGAAATGAAATGATCCAAGAACATTAATTTTAAAGTGATTCGTTAGTTTGTACTAACTCATATTGTTTGTTAAACTATATTTCAGTTTCAGTTAGGTAAACTTTGAAATAACTTATTAGACCAAAATATGGATATTCTTAATTCAATTTAAGTTTTAATTCTATTCAACACTATATTCCATCTTTGTCAATTATTTAAAGTCAAATAAATAACATGTAATGAATCTTCTGTTATCAATATTCGCACAGGTAGTTATTTTGAAAATACTTCTAGTAAGTATTTATTTCATATATTTTGTAAAATAATTCAATATGACAACCAATGAAGTAATCCCGTCATATACAAAGGTACGAAAACCTACTAATTATTTAGGTAGTAAATCTCCACCCCGTCATGCTTAGGACTATTTTTCATTAGAATTTGCTAGAATGTTAACTTATCATATTTAAATTAAATCAAATCGTAGTACATTTATGGATTGGCAATATAACTAGGTATGGATAAGTTGTAAATATGTATATAAGGCTAAGAACTTACTGAACGATTTTCACCCGCGCCCGCCGCGGCTGCGAGACTGCAACTTGCGTAAAATGTGAAATTGTACTTAAAACGTAGGCAGGACTAAACAATCATTAAATTAGCGCAACACCCAACAATATCCTAACAAACTTAAATTGCGTTTCTTCGGGGCTCACTTTCAATGAGTTTCCGAGATAAGCAGCATCTCTTTGTACACTTTCAGCCAGTTCCAGCGTCCGTTTAACGGGTCTTCTTTTTCTTCGGGATTATGATAATCTCTCTTGGGCAAATTAAAGTCAGTAACCTCATCCATAATAAAACTTTTGAGCCAGAGTAAGTCTCTTTTTACTCTCTTAAATATCAAAGTCAATGTTACGCTTTATGAAGTAAACGTGGTATGTACTTATAACAAAATTTAAACAGAAACAGACAGAAATGTATCCATATCACTGAATGCGCTTTTACTGTCGTCAAAACAGACTTATATTTAAGGGACCGACTGCCGAGTAAAGTGGTCAAAACTTTTTTGGATATTTTTCAATATTTTTTGAAGATTTCCCTCTATTTCAACAGGGTCCCATTATCAGATCTTGATTTTATCACAATGATACCACATTCAAAGAAAAATCCGAATCGGCCAAGGCATCTTCAAGTAATCTGGGATGTCATAAATTCGACGAATTGAGTACCTCCTCCTGTTTTGAAGTCGGGTAATAATAAAGCAAATACCTGAGTACAAAAATCTGAGTGATAATCGTGTTAGCTTTCGAGTGTTTAAGAGTCTCCTCCTATATTTCGGCACTGTTGTAAGTGATGATACTTACAACAGTGCCGAAATATAGGAGGAGACTCTTAAACTATTTTAACTTATCACCGAATAATATATTATGCACAAGGTCATTTTCCCGTAAACATATTGTAAACAGCTATGACCGAGGTGCAAACGCTCCGATTCATCATAGAAACTGCCGTAATGGGACTCAAACTCAAAAGATTTTTTGAAAACGTGTAATTTCTAACACAACACTGACCTAACATAAACTTGTGTGAACCCAAGAACCCAAAAATCCAAGAATATTTATAATAAGCCAACGATTCTTTTCGCAATCTCATGGAGGCGACTCGCGTTTTCGCAAAGTTCCTATCTTCTTTCAGTAAGATTGTGAAATGTCATCGCTAAAGATTTGAGCGAGAATTCAATTTATCGAATCATCCTACGACAAACATGCCCTTTACCACGGAAGCTATCAGTCCTCTTCCATTTCACGGTTAAAAGGATCAAAATTCACTTTACAGAACTCTCAAAAATGGGTACTCAGGAATAAAAGAGACAAATAGAATAAAAGTTAAATTATATCAATACGTCTTTTTCAATGGCAAAATCAGTACTTATTACCCCCTGAAAGGATATACGACCACTTTCGATCAATAATACTCAACAATACAATTGTTGATCGAAGACGACCAGTCACAATATTATTATATTCCGGCGAGTGCGAAAAGCCGGAGTCTAGACCTTTTTCGCTTTGTTGCTGATTATGCTCATATATTATTTATAAGACGGTTAGTAATTGGGTGCGCGAGTTCTATTATCGAATTTATTCTTTTCTTTTGAGAAAAGTAGTTAAAAAGGAAATATGACGCCTGGCAGATTGAAAAGAAAATTTACGAAGTAGATATGTTTAGGAATTGAAATAAAACCAACGTAAATCTAAAAATATATTGAAGCTGAAAACTTTCGATTTTCGGTTTTAAGTTTCGGAGTGACCATTAGACCAATCGAGACTTACCAAATGTTGACCAAATCACGGCTTAGCTTCGCCAAAACCTGTAGCCATTTTCTGTTAGGAGTATTAAAGATAACATCTTCCAAAAGCTCATGGGTTTGTTTCTTTTATAACCTTAACTTATCTCTAGACATGAGAACCTGCAATTGGCTCTCTGTTGCTATTTGAAATCTTTATTTTTTTTAGATAAACTGTTGGTTTTCTTTGTAACCAAAATAAATGAATAAATCTGCTATCACATCCTCCAAATGCTCTATCTGGCTAGAGTCTTCTTGATCAGCATTCTGTATAATATGTTCCAGTAGATAGATTACTAAAGCTTCAAGAGTGAAGAAGATCGGATTCAGGTCGGTAAGGTAAGAGCGACCTGATGCCAATGTCTCTGCAGCATTAGCTTCCTTCGTAACTGGATTCCTGTCACTCCTAACATCCAAGGAAAGTAGGTACCCATTCAAGTTATCCTTATCTGATTAGGAAATGCAATCAAAAGTAAATATCAAAAACATATGTGAATTAAGCAGACGACAGAAGTTTGGATTTTTTGTTAAGTATGCGCTATGTAAAGAAAATCAGAAAGCTAAGCGAAGTTAAGCTAAGTAAAGATAATCAGAAATCGTTAAAACTCTTCTTTCTTCTTTTAGTTTTTCCATGTTCATTATTGAAGTTTGCTTGAAGATTGTTAAAAACACTTTGCTTGGGTTTGACATTTAAAAATGCCAATGCGATTAGGATTTCTCGTAGGACTTATTTAAAAAAAATGGCAGTAATAAACATTTTAGAATCGCGTCTAAAGCATATTTTCACTAATTCTTGGTGGTGTCTAAATAGAAAAAACCTTTTGAAGTGCGAATATTTCGACAATATCTTACAAAAAGCTGATGCAAATATTTCGACTGAAAATGCACTAAGCTCTTTTCATCACGGGAATAAGTTCCCTTTTCCGTTGCTTTGAACCGGGATGATCCCCTAGTGAAAGCTTACATCGCGTCTACAGTCTACTTGTTGATTACGTGCGCAACACGTTGGATTTTCCTTTGTTACAAAATGGTCCGCCGTCCGTAAAATTATTCTCTTTTATTCACCTACAAAGCCGCAGTTAAAGTTATAGTTGCCCCGTAAAATGTTAGACGACCGAAATAAAATTAGTGCAATTAAATTAAAATACATTATGATAGGAGTAATAACTTTTTAACCCGCTCTTGTCACGAAGTCTTTTAATGCATGCTTACAACCAAATGCCAGAATTAACTAATAATCTTTTCGGTGTTTTAAAATTAAAACTTACCTCAATGTGTCTGCGAACGCCTCCAACTTCAGTGATGCCACCGTTTTTCAGCGACAACAAATTAAAAAATTAACGTTTGACAAAATTTACTTTGTCACCGCACGTCTGTCCCGAATGCCGGCCCGGCGTTGACTGCGGTCTGTGCGAGTTCCAAGCTTCGAATGCCACCTTTACCTGTTACTATGTTCCAGGGGGTGGGGGTGTAGGGATGTTTAGCGCCGGCGAAGATCGCTGCTTCGTATAAAGTAGGATTCATGATTTTGTACGCTGTCATTTTATGGCCGCTAGTTCTCGATATTATACCGCAAGTAAGAAATAAACTTATTTGTCCAGATACTACGATCATTTACGTAACTTAATGTATATTGACATCTTATAGTGCCTGGAGAATGTAGGACTGAAGCCTGAAGACACTACATCTAGCCTAGCTCCGCAAGAAAATTTTCAAGGGCTAGGAAAGCTTAACATAGCTTAGTGGCCTAGATATAAAACTGGTTTCTTAGTAACATTAGGAAGGTACCGGTTTTCTGAAACTAGGAAGTTTCAGTTGTTATTCAGGAAAGGAACTCCCAGTCATCAAACATCGTCCATGATTGAAATATCAACTTCCAAGTAGGCAATTAATTTAAAAATCTATAGAAATTTAGAGTTAACGAAAAGTTTTACAGTTTTGATGTAAACGTTTAATTCATCTAGAATAACCAAATTACCGAACTATCAGGCTTTAAGCATAAATGTAATATTCAATTTGGGTGTTTTGATTTAACACTTATAGTTAAATGATTTAAAGTATCAAAAGTGGCACATAATTATTATTTAAAACACGTGTTTTGTAATTCGTAAAAAATATCATTACTATAAAGATACTATCTTCCTTAAAGTTAATGGAATTTGCGCAGTTACGCCACGGCATGTCACAGTCACACTGTCACGCCATCTGGTTATTACATGCCTATGTTTTCATTCTCCATACGTTACCACTCGCATCTGTAGCACGAAATATATATCCGTCCCCTTCATCCATACCAAGTTGACTCGAATTATGAATAGGAGTGAGGATGATAACCGTATCTCCTGTTGAATGAGTAGAATCATGACTGAAAACGCTGTTGAGGGAATACGTTTATTTTCATTATGTATACGTTTTGTCTGTGTATTATATTTGTTGAAAAAGGGGTTCGGCAACACTTCAGTTTTTCTATTATACGACTAGACATGTACTTCCTACGTTGTAAAAGTTGAAAGTACTTTTTAACTTGTTTTATTTAATGAGTGATGTGCGTGAAAACCTGAAAAACAAGTAGGTACTTTTTAGAAAAAAATCCACGCGGGCCAGTCAGCAGACGGGACTCGAACCCGCACCCTTCGCTATCCGGGCGAATGCACTGACCAATTATGCTACCACGACCCTGATGGCCGCGTCGAAATTCTTCTAGCCATTCTTAATGCCTGGCCCGCGTGGAATTTTTTCTAGTTATATTTTGTTTAGATTTAAACATCAAGCAGTTACATGCTTAAAAAAATAAAATTATAAGTACTTTTTAATTTAAAGTTTGATAATGTTAAGTCAGCTTAGGTTTAAAAGCATTTTACTTGCAAAACTTGTATACTTAAAGAACATTTTTACTACTTAGAAAAAATCTAAATGTTCCAGTGGTGAGTGTTGAACTGGAAGCAGATTTTTTTTTGCTATCGCGGTGTGACTTTTTACATATATTTCTTAAATTCTAAGGCAGCGCTTTTAATTTCATTAATATTAGTAACTATATCGAATGATATCATAATAAAAGAATCAAATTTGAAGAGATAGATAGCGCATGTGGTTAGCACATTCAGCATGTAATCGTGAAAGTTTTGGTCACCCATCCAATGACCGACCATTGCGAAAGTTGCATAAATTCCACGATTGCAGGCCGAATGCGGTTATCATCAGCGCCACCGAATACTACAAATTATATATTTTCAAATAATTAGCTGAGCATAATAAGCGACAGGCTCGCTTGCATTATTCATAGAAGTGACCGAACGAATGAATTATAATGACAATACAAAGCTTTACCTACGTAATTCGGGTCAGAAATTATAAAAGACTTTCCTTATAATACCGTACTGCTCTACAAATCCTAGGGCTTAGGCGCAGTGTACACTGCAACAGTAGGTAAAGTTCAAATTTCTATAAAAATGTAATAACAATCTCGTTGATTTCAACGGACTGAAATAAGTCGTGAACAATGTTATTGCTTGTTTTGTTGTTAGTAAAAACTAGCAAACCAGTGAACCAAATGTTCACCAAAACCTGATTTAAAAAAATGTATTTAATTAATTGAGAACTTCGGAGATTTTGTGTGGTTTCGTTTGAAATTCGTGATTTCTCGAAAACCGGAAGTGCTACGTTACTCAAATCCGGTTTGTAGTCTTATCAGACTATTCTTAACTTATAACTTAAATATTCTCTTTATCTATCTCTTACGGTTTGGCCGCTGAAACAGCACCACAGACAGACGGACTTGTCTAATAGATAAGAGATTATGTATGCGTCGTCAAAATTATTAATTACTAGCTGACCTGGTGGTCGTACCGCTTACAATAATTTGGAAGAAATGAAAATAATCTTCTACATTTGAAGACGACCTCCGTGGCCGAGTGGTTTGTACGCCGGGTTTCATGGTGTCGCGGACTCGAGAGGTCCCGGGTTCGAATCCCGGTGGGGGCAGATGTTTGTGTGATGAATACGAGCATTTGTACTCCAGTCATGGATGTTAAATATGTATTTCTATATAAATATACTTATGTATGTACAGTATATGTATTCTATCCATTACCCTAGTATCCCCTAACACAAGCCTTACAGTGCTTACTTTGGGGCTAGGCTAATTGGTGTGAGTGTTGGAAATATTTATTTATTTATTTATTACTAGCAAACCCGGCGAACTCCGTTTCGCCACCAGATGGCTTCGTTTTATGTAACATTTCGTTTGGTGATTAAAAAAAGTTTTTTTTTTTAATTTTTCCTGAACTTTCTTTGCTATAAACCTCACGAAGCCCGAGACGTTTCCAACGAAAGCAAAACCGTGGAAATCGGTTCGTGCGTTCTGGAGTTATAGCGTCAGGAAGGAAAACCCGACTTATTTTTATATAGTAGAAGAAGAAGATAATGAATATGTGGAAGTTGATACTCGAACTAAAGCTGAAATTCCCCACAGCAGTGCCCCTTTAAAATACTTAAGGGTGTGTTATATATGGAGGAGCTCGATGGCGCAGGTGGTAAGCGCGTTCGGCTGCGATCATTAAGTGGTCGGTCATTAGATGGGTGACCAAAATCGTCTATCTCGAGTTCCTCCGTGCTTCGGAAGGCACGTTAAGCCGTTGGTCTCGGCTTCACCTGCAGTCGTTAGCACCCGCCAATCCGCACTGGGCCCGCGCGGTGGATCATGGCCCAATCTCCCTATTCCGTCCATAGGGAAGGCCTGTGCCCCAGCAGTAGGAACATTAATATTCTGATGATAAAGTGCTACATATTCTGCAAAAGATATATTTTATTATTCTTGCAAACGATTTAGAAATTTACAATTTACTCCACTGGCATTCACTGCAGCGTACATAACTCAAAGCTGTGCTCAACGTATGTCGATGGGGAATAATACAACGGGGAACGAACAACGAAAACCGACGCTATTTCATTAGCGGTAAAGTCGAGAATTACGAAACTCGTATTTAGTTACGATGTTGATACAGAGAGCTCAATAAATGCATTATGCAGGTCGCAAATTGCTCTAATTCCGGTAAATTTGAGTTTCATCTACGTTTGCTGGTCACAATGTTAGTTAGCAACGGGGTGTTAAGTCTGGAGAGTGAAATAAACCTCTTAATTTAGTACCTACTATAGTTTATAGTTAATGCTGTAAGTTCAAGAACTTTGCGGTTTCTCGCGTCTTTAGTAAATTTTCTCTTTAATCTTTTTAGGAAACTTGTTTAAGTAGGTACCTAATTCTTGTGTGCAATATAAAGTAAACACTTTATCTTATTCTCTCGTTAATTTAGCAATAGGCTACTTGACACGTTTTGGAAATATGAGAGAGAGAGAGAGAGAGAACCATTTTATTGACCAATAAAACACAAACATAAAAATTATAAACTGCTAAAATAAAAATCATATATAAAAAGTAAGCATTACACAATTTTCTAAACCTAACAGCCTTCATATTGGTCAATCAGGACCCTGCCTCAGCATAATGCTGCCGTGACATGTAACTAAACGTGTCACGACAACTCTGGTATTCTGACAGGGCCTATAGGGTGCACGGTTTTTCGGTATACACACAACAATATAATAAATTTAATCAAGAATACGAATAGATTTATAATTATATAAATAGTGCTAAGTGCAAAAATGAAAAAAATCTAAAAAATAAATAAATATATATGTAACCCAGCATTATAAGCTGTGTTATGTTATTGTGTGGTTAATCTGTGACTTGGCTTGTCACTTTTTGCGATATAAATAATTAGTAATCAAAATGAGGTTTCCCTCAAAATATTCATTGAGTGCGATTGTTCGCCCATGGTTTAATGTCTCTGCGTGTTCCCTTTTAATGATTTTGTAATAGATGTAATGATTTTACAGTAGATGGAAAGGTTGAGGTATGTATTTCAATATAATATGTTTGAAATGGTTTATAATTGTTCTATTAGACCGAAAAAAGGTATTGTGTTTTTTTACCTAGAAAGCTACAAAACTTTAATTTTAAAATAGATTTTTCATGGACATATAAAAACGCTGTCGGCCATTTTAGTCTATAGATTATCTATGCTATGACGTCAACAAAATCGTAAACAAACATTCGGAAGCACGTAGGAAATAACCTGAATCTAAATTTATATTATAAAACCATAATTTCTAATAGATTTCATGATAAATATAATAATTATCATGATTATATTATACGACAATGTAGAAACACATCGTTAAAGACTCCAGAAAAGACGTGATTTAAATTGTCTAGAGAAATACACATACCTACACATGAACACAGTCATGATTAAAACCTGCTAAATCCTGTAATTTTACCGTCTGAAAGTCATTACTTTTAGCTAAGATCACTTTAATGTGAGTACTCAAT